ACTTGAAATCAGGCTCACAATGCCAAAAATGTGGCGAGATAAGGTCTGAGTCACTGCAGCTCCTCAGTGTTTCCTAAAGCAGTGACACAGAGCTCACTCCAACCCCAGCACTCTCTGTTTGTCAGGTACTGAACACCTTGAAGATAAAGCTTTTTATGTGAAATACAGTGTAGCTGATCCAGGTGGAAAATTATAAGGCACATACAATTTTTTTTGTTGTTTTGTTTTTGTTTTGTTTTGTTTTTTAAAAAAAACACACATTCTGAAGCGTTGTTACAATCGTGCTACTCTGGGTGGCCCAGCCAAGGACAGAGGGGATGAAAGTCCACGAAATGCAGGAAAATACAGGAAAAAAAATACAGAAAAAAATACAGAAACCAAAGAATAAAGCAGAACACATTGATACACAATGACAGCAATGATCAACTCTTCTCATTTCTTTGGCCAACAAGCAGTGACAATTGCAAAGCATTCTTTGTTTTGCCCTGGAAATACCTGACTTTATTTGGATACACAGATGTTTGCCACAATACCTGAAATAAGTAAATAAAAAAAAAACCCAAACAGGCTGGTTCTAGTTTATGTTTTTAACAAAACAAAGCTGCCAAGTAATTGTTGTTGGGAAATCATGAGAGAAATAATAACAGGGGGCTACAAAAATGATGAGCTAGAATGACAGCTGAGAAGAGATTCATAGTTAAGGAACGTATGAAACCAAATCGCAACGGTTCTAGGCATTTATTCCAATATCTTAGAAAATAAAAATAAAAAATACTCTTCATTGCATCACCATTTAAAGACAGAAAAACAAATCTTTAACTTAAGCTAAAAGAAGATGAGAATTGTTTCCTGGTTTTTTGTTTTCTTTTCGTTTGGTTGGTTTGTTTTTTTTTTTCCATTTGCAGCCTTGTTTATTCACAGTACAAACAGAGCCCGCTGGTACAGATTTCAAAGTCACAAGATGCACAAAGTCGGACAAGGAGCGCTGTTCCCTCCTCCCCTCTTCACAGCTGCTCTGCCCCAGAGAAAACCCAGCCCCAAATGAAAATAAAATCCCTAAACCCCCACTTTTCAGTGCCTGTGAAATCGCAGAGCAGCAGCAGCACTGAAGCTTGGGGCTGTGCTTTGTTCCACCCGAACAAAGAACATTCCACGCATTTCGGAATTCCACCTTAAGGCAAAAAAAAAAAAAAAAAATTAAAAAAAAAAATAAAAATCAGGTAATGCAGTTTTCTACCTGTCCCCTTCAAAGTTTCCAGCTTTTCCAGATTTCAAGCGTGACCCCTGAAATTCAGTAAATGAACAGAACATCAGGCATAAGGAATGCTTTAACAAAAAAAAAAAAAAGGAATAACCAGGAAATGCTTTTCCCAACAATAAATCAATAAATTTCCCTTAGTTCTATCTACATTTTGTTAAAGCATTTTATGCGGTTTCAATAACAAATTGCAAATATTTTTGGCAACTAATTTTTTTTTTTCTTTTTTAATAAAAATCCAGACAGTGTTCTCTGTTTGCAATCAGAACCACACCCTTAGTGCAATATTATATTTATTTCTTACAGTAATTTTGGTTGCCATACAAGAGTATTAAGGATTGGGGAAAAGTGCAAGTTACAGGAGCTTGATTTTTTTTTTTTTTAATCAGTCGAAATAAGAGGAATTAAAGCACAAAAATTACAGCAACATAGATAACGTGAACACAAGTTGTTACACAAACTATAGCGAGAAACATATTAGTATCTAGAAAAGAAAAGAAAAAATGTAATGGAAAAATTATCAATATTTGTGGCTCATACACATAATCATCGCCAGATCAACTGGGTAATGCTTTCTAAGAACGGAGAGGAAAAGAAAAAAAAAAAATCACTATTTTTTTATTAACTTAAGTACCACAAATAATTAACTTCTTTGTGATATGTAAATTCTGTAAATCAACAGTCACATCTAGTCATTTTATAATATATGAATTAAACTTAAAATGTTCTCAGACACCTAGGGCAAGGAGTCTGTGCAGTTATACACAATTTACATCTTGTAAGATTTTGGTATTGTATACACAAATATTACAGAAACTAGGCATGTAAATGCAATTTATTTAAATTACAGTATATAAACAAAAGTTGATCCTAAAACCCAGAATATCATAGATCTCTAATGACTTTGTTTTTTCACTATCAGAGTAGCATGAAAGAAATGGGTCTTCTCTCCTCCCCCCTGGTGAAAATACTCGGAGGCCACGGCGTTATCTGTTACTATTGCTTTCTTTTTTTTGTTTCAAACCACCCCTCAGAGCTGGAGACCGAACTCGACTTGGCAGAGGTGCATTCTGGTGGTCCAAGTAGGTCCCCTCAGGTCTCCTTACCTTTTTGCTTCATAGGACACAAGGTGAAAAATAAAACTATTCCCTTTCAGCTCTTTGACCTGCTCGTTTTTGCACCTGCTCTTGGAGTACCTGAAGAGATGCCCGAGCAGGAGCCACACCTGTGTGAGGAAGGGACGGTCCCACCTGGGAGTTACTGGGTGTGTCAGCCTTGCTCAGGGCAAGTTCAACCAACCAGAAGAAGGTTGTGATCCAAAAAAAGCAGCTTTAAAAGTCAACTTCTATGTTGTTTTTTTTTTTTTCTTTTACTACTGTATTTATTTCCTAACGTATTTCTGGCACGTGTTATAGAGGTAATAGCAACTGTACCCAAAGAAACAAACAAAAAAAAATTAAAAAAAAAAAAAAAGAGAGAGCATGGCATCAGTGGTTTATTTACTGAATTCTGTCGTATCACCAAATGGAAGACAAAAGATGGCTAAATTACCTTTTCTTTTTTTTTTTTCTTTTTTTTTTTTTCACTTCTTAAAGTGTGTGATGGCCTCAAGTTGCCTGCATCGACCTATCTGAGTGGAACTGCCATTTTCTACACCTCCCATGGAAAAACTCAGCACTCCTCGACAGCAAAACAGCCTCAGTGCTTCGTTTTTGTGACAAGGTTCCTTGGAACTCCCCAGATACAAACAGAGTGCAGTAACAGATGTTAAGTCAAGAGATTTGCTGTTCCATAAAGGGGGCAGGAGGCTTAAATAAGTTGATTTTTATGAGTTTCCAATGCGTTGGTAACTGTAACCACTTTTGAAGAAATATTCATCCTCCTCTGTAGAAGTTCTAGCAAAGATAGAAAATATAACACAGCTCTGCTGGTTCAGATGCATCCAAATGAGGTTGATTTTAAAAAGGTCAAGACTTTATAATTATTCCACAGAAATAGTAGTAAACCACAAAAAGTTTTTTTTTCTTTTTTTTTTGTTTGTTTTTTTTTCTGTTTTTAACTTCCTAGCACTGAAGTGGCACAAAGGCTGCCCAGTAGACCAGCCACTTATTTTCTTAAAATATTGTGCTTATAAACTATCTGTACAACTATTTAAACTTGCAGTAAAGAAAGATATTTAAAATGCTAAACTTTATGTACTCATACTAGGGCTGTTGCAGACCTAATTAGACACTTGTTTGTGAGCAAAAAATAATCACAATAATAAAAAAATTAGAGATAGGCTGGACCATATCAAGGACCATATCAAGGAAAGAAAGTTCAGGTACCTTGCAAAATGTAAGGGAACCTGAAAGTTTGGTAGGGAGGCAGTTTAGCCATCCACACCCAATTTACCCACCTTGAACATCTTGAATATTCTGTCCAGAAAGTCCTACAAAACTCACAGATATTCAGAGGTGTTAATTACAAGGGGGAGTTCAAACATGCAGAGAGAGAGACTTGTTAACTTGAAAGTTGAAAAAAATAATAATAACAATATTTTTTTTTTAAAAAAAAAACAAAGCCGTGTGAACCAGCCATGGGTGTTTCTCCCCTGCTGACGGAAGTCTCCCGGAAAGTTCTGCCTGCCCCACTCCCAGCCCTGGATTCTGGCAGGGTGCTCCCACCTCTCGTGCCAAGGAATGGGCTGTGCCCAGCCCTCTGTCCCTGTCCAGAGCCAGTTCCTGCCAGCAGTGACAAAATGAGAGCCTGGATCCCTCCCCAGCCCTCACACCCCGAGACACTCGACAGCTCTTTCCAGCTTGGCATCACCTCTCTGCCTCCTCTCAAGGATCTGAAGCATTTCCATCCTAACAGGCTGAAATCCCTCTCTCACTTCAGATCCTGGCACACTTCCCACTGACTTCAATGGGAACATTCATCTCTCTTTTCCTTCCTTCTCAGCCTGCTGTTCAAAATACCCAGGCACTTACCACTCACTGAATTAAGCAGCACCTCCCAGGGCTCAGCCTCTCTCAGTGTCTCACTGTCAGGTCCCAAGCTGTGCCTGCACACCAAAGTTTGTCCTGGCTCGTGGAGTTCATATTTTGACTCAGCACCAGCTGAGCTGGTTGAGAACTGGTTGGGGGGGGGGTCTCAGGTTCAAACTAGCTTCACTTTGCTGTACCTCTAAGTGTGGTCCCTCCTCAGCCTTTACTCAACATCTGCACCATCCTACAGGCCACGTCAATGGAGCGTGCACTGAACTTGTTCTGCCACCTTGGAAGAGTGCTAAATACCACTGCAGAAATAAAGAAATACTAGGTAAAACAGAGCAAGGTTACCATTGGACTGACCCCAGCAGAACAACCAGCTTCACTGCCAACAGATCAGGGAGCTATGCCAGTAAAAAAAGAGGAATACGAACTCCTGTGCCCGCCTCAATATCCCTGCTACTGATAAAACTGGGTTTGAGTGGTAATGGAGCAACCTGTCCTCTTAAAATGAACCAAGGGCTGGGGAAGGCAGCCTGCTTGGAGACTGAATGCCAAGGAGAGAATAAAATAAAATGCAATTTTTTTTTTTTTCTGTCAGTCAAAGAAACCCTGAAATGTTTGCAATTTTAAAAGAAAATTGTCACACAACGGTCCCAGCCAAGGGCAGTATCAAGAGTTTTGAAGTTAACAATTGTCTCTCTCTCACATCTCCCCACAGCTTTGAAATAAAATGGCCCCACTTCTTTAGCATCTTTAGGTTTGTGTTTGGGCATGTAGCAGACAGTCTACATCTCCTGAGTACCAGGAATTCATCTGTTTTCCCCCTCCCCCCCAATTTTGCTGGCACTCGCAGACAGACAAGGCATTTGGGGTATGTCAGTACCAGCCCATCTCTAGTTATCAACAGAAGTTTGTGAGGCAAGATAGCTATTCTTATCTGTCCAGCAGCTGCTTCAAAGCTCTTTCTATGTTCATTCTGTGCCCAACTCTAGTCACTCCAAGGTCTATCAGATCTTCCTTCTGTAGATTTGGTAAATGTGTGCCATCTATTTCATTGTCCATAAATGTTTCTTTATGTTCACCTAAGTTTAGACTTTCCAACCAATCTGCCACATCTGGTTTAGTCCACAGGTGGACAGGCTTAGTTGTAAAAGGCTTATTTGAGATTGGCTGTTGTAATATGGAGGGAGAAGGAGACCTGCTGCGCCCTGTGGTCAAGCCAAATAAGTCCCCAGAAGGGGGCTGGCTGGGTAGGCTAAATACATCGGACAGAGTTGGAGAAGGAGATGAGGCTGAAGCAGAAGCAGTCAGAGGAGCAGGCAGGATGTCTTTATTAATCTCTGTTGGTGAAACCACAGGGCTGGGAGCGTGCCTTGCTCCTGAGGTCCTGCTGTCATAGTCTGGGGACCTGCTCTGCAGTGAGATCGGCTGGCTGGCTCCGGGTCGGACAGTGAAAGTGATTGTTGTACTTCGTGTACCTGAGACAGTACTCATGACTTCCGTGCTCCTGCAAGGGCAAACAGACAGGCACAGTTAGAGCTGCTGGCCACCAGCATGGCCCCACCAGCACGTGGTCATTACAGCATGGCAGTGCTTGGGGAGTTTCACATTTTAACTACAAGTACAGAAACAGTATCATCGACTCTTTCCCAGAAACCAGCACCAATGGTAAGCCATAGTTAAAGACAGAACATTTGCTTATGAGCAGTCCAGGAAAAAACATGCTTCCAGAGCACATTCTCTCCCTTTTTAATACCTGTTCCCAAATTAAATCAGAAGTGCTGAGTGGAACAAGCACACGAGCATTTTGTACTCTCAGCAAAGCACGACCAGGAGTTGACCTTCCCTTTGCTACGTGGAGGGTTGGAATCCTTTAGTTCTTCAGTTCTGGCTTTACACATAACATAGCCAATAATTGCAGTGGTGGAAAGTTTCAGGAATGCTGGATTTTGGATCTTTGGGCTTCACTCAGTGAATTTTGCAGCATGTTTGCTGCAAAAAAAGCTGCTCTTATTTCCCTTTCTATCCATGCTTTAAACATAAAACAATTCTTCTAAGGTGCCTAAAACATCTCAGTGTCTATTTCCTTCCACAGAGAAATTATACTCTGGCAGTTTCACCACAAAATTAAGGAGACAAAATTCTTTTTCCTGTGCATGACTGGAGGTGATGTAGCTGGGGTCAAGTTCTGCCTAAAGAAAATGAGTTTCAGATTAGGAATGAAGCAGGCATGAACCTCGCTGAGAGGCTAGCTCTGATGCCCAGCCTGACAGGGTGGGTGAAGGAACACGACCCTCTGCTTCTGCCTGCTGGCTACAGAAGCAAATTTAGAAGGTTTGGGTCTGTTCATGTCATCAAAGGCTTGACCCCACAGCCCTCACTCCCATGGGAAGAGCCTGCTGGTCAGCGTGCACACTTCAGGACACTCCACAGAGCCCTTGCATGCCTGGAGCTCCAGAGTTCTCCACTTCAGAAATAACCTGCCAACTGGGAAAACCTTCAGACCACTAGTCTAAAGCACTTGCAGACCAAAGGACGGGTTTATTTATCCTGGGAGCAATGCCATGGAGTCCAGAGGATGATGTGGCTGATGCTGTACTGAGATTTGCTGTGCAGACCCTGACACAAGCCCTCTGTTCCTGAGTTCTGTTTTTGAGTGCCACACTGTCCCCAGGCCTGTCCTGTCCTGCCTGGGCAGGACTGAGGATGCTTGGGTGCATGATGTCAGATGGAAATGCTCCCATTAACCCAGCACAGCATTAATTCTACACTGCTGTGCAGAAAAGAACTGAAGGAGATGAAGGAAAAGCAGGGTAACGGCAACATGGGGCAGTGCTACCAAAGGGGTTATTAATCCCTTCCTCCCCCACTGCAGCCCTGAGCTGGAGACAGTGATTCCCTGGCTGGCTGCTGCCTGTGGAGAGCCCTGAGAGTGTTCCCTGAATCACCCTTGGGGCTTTGGCCCTTCACACCAACCCAGAGCCCAGGGAGGTGCAGCTCTGCCACACTGACAGCTCGGCAGGTCCCCTTCAAATAAAGCTCCCTGTCATGAGGAGAGCACTGAGAATCTCTTTTGGGAGAACCCACATCTAATTCACACCAACATTTGCACTGATTTCCCACAGGCTGCTCCATGGATTTCAATGGGAACAGGGGATCTCTTTGGAAGATTGGTACTTCACTTAAAACCCAGTAGGAGCAATGCTTCCAGCACTTATGGCTTTGTAATTTAACACAGAAAGGAAACACTTGGCAAGGTTTTGAGTGCTCCCTGTGATGTTTTTGGCACCTAATGGCTTTCATTGTCTTCCAAGGCTGGAGCTAAGCATTCTTATAAATAAAAAGTCTGTGGCAAGAGACTATTAAATTCTACTAACCAAGGGGAACAAGTTATTTCCACCTCCTTTACCTTAGCACTAGGAGTCTCACACTCATTACTAAGGCATGATATAATTTAAAACCAAGAAAAAGCCTTCTTTGAGAAAGGTTGGGGTAGTGCTATCCGAGGGATGGCAAGAATGAGCTTTGTATAAATAGGGAAATGAATCCCTGATCTTTACCTGCAATCACCCTTCTACTTAACTTTCCTGTCTTGCAAATACTAGAAATTAGGGTTTTGTATTTACACCCATTGTGGCAAGATCAAATGGATGATGAAAATACACCTTCTTTTATTCCAGGTGATGAAAGATAATTTCTACTGCTTGACTGACAGCTCCAGGCTCAGTGCTTTGCAACTCATTTTTGCTGCTTCTCCTTCAGACTGCTCCTCTTAAAGACTCCCTGCCCAGCCTTGTTCAGGAAATTAAATAAAGGATGTTAAGATAGAAGAAACAAACTCCCCAAAAATAAACTCTGTGCTCTCATTTGAAGTATTCCTTGGCTGGTGTTCCCTAACTTTCTCAGCCTCATGGGCAGGAATTGTCAGGGTGAGCAAAGCATCCCAGGCATCCTGGTCCTTTGCTTCCTGTCAGTCTGGATCAAAACATTGGCTTCACATGGCTGCAAGAAGAACTGAGAGCATCTTGCTTTTTCCAAGCCAGAGGTTCAGGGCTGATGATTATGAAAACAAAACTCTGAGATAGGGATAAGATTTTTTTAGCTGATTGCAGAGGTTTCAACACCAACTCAGTTCAGAGCCGTGTGAGTACTCAGATCTCATGGCATGGGCACAGCCCTGGTGAAGCTCAGGGAAGTCTGCCAGGCTTTCAGTTCCATGCCTTTCACTCCAAGATTATTTTCCCATGTTCTTTTCCCCCTTTTCCACCTGCCCTATCAACTACATTTTTTTGTGCTGCACTGTAATTGTAATCCAAGGGAAAAAAAACAAACCCAAGGATATTTATGTAACTCCTATGCATCCTAAATTATAATATATGACATCTCCCCACATGATCTGGGGTGCAGACACAGCCTTGAAACCATCATCTGTCTTGCATTTTATGGTTGGTTGGCAGCCTGGTCAATAAGGAGGGAGCAGGTTCCAGCTGGAGAGCGGGCAGGGTTTGTTGTGTTACGGGGTTTCCGGATCTTTAATCATTTTTAATCACAATTTCTTATGCCTTATTTGATCATCTGTTATCCTAAACATGTCAAATCCATATGAAACCTGCCAAACCCCAAACTTCATTAAAAAAAAAAAGGTGAAAAGTATGATAATTATTTTAAATAAATGTTGCTCTATTAGAATCAGCATATGGTGGTAATTTATAAACATTTGCTGCTGTGAGCCTGCACTGATTGCAATGCCCATTATGTTGCTTCATATTAAAATCAAAATATATAACCTATATGTCACAACCACATGGCCTCCAAGTATAAAAGCCATCAGCACAGCTTGTAGCCAAAAAATTCTTTTAAATTTTAAATTATATTTGCAAGATTCAAATTTACTGTTAACTTAATATCAGAGGCAAATCAGTGCAGCAGCTCCCATGGAAAAATAAAACCCCCATATCATTCTCAGCTCCTGGGAGCTGTTTTAGCCCAGAACTTTCCAGAAGACTTGCTGGTTCTGACACAGCTTTTCCATTGTATCAAAGGAAAACACTTTTAAAACCAAGAATGAAGAAGCTGTATAGGGGTGCTGCAAGAAATTAAATTCTTACAGATCTAGGAGGCCGCACAAACCCCAAACTTTGCCTTCACCTCTTAATTTTTTTACTCTGTTGTCAGAGGCAAATTGCATGGCAGGAAAGTAAGGCAAGAGCTGTGTGTTTTGGGGGCAGGTGCAGAACAAGGGCCGATGTGATGACTGGCAGGATGCAGAGCTCCTCACAAGGGCGTTGTTCCGGGGAGAAGAATTGAGAGCTGCTCCGTGTCTGCTGCCAGGGAGGAACAGTCAGGAAGGGCTGTGGGAGTCTGTCTGTGCAGGAGCAGGAGTTTCCATGTGAAATGTCTGGAAAGCAGCAGGAAGGGGATGGTGCTAGGCCAGGAGGCAGCCTCAGCCCTCTCTGCTTGGATAACTGCAGGGGAAAGGGAAGCTGGAAGAGAACGGGGGGAATTCCACAGCTTTCAAGGACAAGACGACCACACAGGCTGGTTTGTCTTTACTTTTAGCCTCACACAGGTGTGTAAAACTGTATTAATCATCCCTCCCCACCCCTCCACCTCCCAAAATCTGGCAGAATCTGGCCATATCTGAAAAGTCCTGCCCCTTGTTTAGGTGCTCAGACACATTCAGGGATCTGGTCTTATGTGCTCATGTCAGCAACACATTTTCTGAGTACTCCTCTGATGAGTGTGGCTTTTATTTCACCTTGAGATGACATCCTAGGTCCCATTTTAGGATGGCTACCATTTCTGGATTAGGATGATCTAATCCACACTGCACTGTGAGAAACACAGTCACCACCAAAGTCACTGAAATGCAATAACAATGGGTGAGCATCAAAAAGCAGCAGAATGTACAACACAGAATAGTCCATGCTTTATGGTTGGCACTTACTTCATGGCACTTCAGCATGGCCCTCCTCTGACAACAGCAGTCATGACAGCAAATAAAAATGACAAAATGGAATGACTGAAACACTGCAGAAATCACTGACAAAGCAAGCAATCCTGTGAAATTGGCTGGCAAACAGTTAACGATGTGAAATGAGTCTAATGGGAGAGCAGCAAGTGAAAAACCAATGCCCTTATTTCATCCTCTGCCAAACCCAGACATCCTTTACCATAAACCAAACACAGGATCACTCCCTGTAAAGGACTCACCACTAAGTTCTGTTCTACCTTACCTGCTTGTGGAAAAATAAAAGGAACTTCTCCAAATACTCATGAAAAAAACTAATTCACTGATGGCCAAAATCATTGGCCAGTTTCACTTTTAAAACTTGTTATTCCAGCACAGTGCAGGTTATTCTTCCTAGAGGACTCAGTTCCACAGCATCCTCCATAACTCCCACACTTATCATGAGTATTTCCCACCACCACCAATGTGCCCCAGAGGTTGCAGGATTGTGCAAACACAGCCGGACAAACACAGAAAAACTGGATGTGTTTCTCCCTCTGGCCAAGCCATGGATCATTTTGGTGTGGTGCTGGTGGAGAGCAGCAGGAGCTGCTGTTCATTACCCCTTATCAGTGCTCCAGAGGCACAAGGGAGGGAGGGAGGGAGGATGCTATGTTCCCTGGGGCTGAGCTGCGTGTCCCTGGCAGCCCCCAGGTTTATCCTGCCTCAGCCACACTGCCTCAGGCCCTGGATCTCAGGGGCTGCCTCCTGATGTTGCCACAGGACTGCAGGGTCACAGCCAGAACAAACACTCCTCCTCTCTCCCAGTGAAAGCCCTGCTCTGCTCTTCTCCCTGTGCTTTCATCAGCTCCTTATAAAAGCCAGGGGCCTCTCAAGTGGATTTACAGCACTGCTGCATTTATTGTGGTTGACATGTCCTGTCCTCCTCGCCTGCAGGAGGACATGGATAAACCAGATTAAAACCTCTGTCACCACAACTGATGGCCATAATTCCTCAAAGTAAAAGGTGGCCAAAACTGGGAGTGGGATCTGGAGCTCTCTTCCTGAACCTCGTGATCAAACTCTTTAATTACACTTCAGTTAATACAAAGTAAGCAAGGGCATTCTCTCACTTCTTCCTCTTTTCCTTTCTCCTGCTGGGCTCCTTTTTCCTATCCCACAGGCTGGCCACTACCACTGAGGATGGAGGAGCAGATGGTTTCCAGCCAAGCGTTTCCATGCTCTATTTAAAAATCTTGAAGCTCGGCGTCTCCATAAGAACCACGGGAAAACTATAAATACACCATGGAAAATGATTGATAAACCAAGATGCAGAGAATAAAAGCAAGTTTAGGGTGGTCTCAATGTAATAATTCAGAAATGCTGTTCAGGACCATAGAATGATCTCTCCCTAATCCCCATTTATCAAAAACACACAAAGAAGGTGTTTTTATGTGTTACTGCAGCCAGTCATTACCCCACTGTCAGTAGTTTAATTCACCCCTGTGCCACCCTAACAGGGCAACTGCCTTCAGCGAGCCCCAGTTTTGCATCTACTGGCTGTGCAAAGAGAATTCCTAGTGGAATTTAGGATTCCAACCTGGCCTATAATTTCATGCATGGACCCATAAGCAGATACATATTTTTAATTTCATCAGGCTGCCTGTGCTGCGAACACCGCCCAAGCGAGCCTGTGAATGCTGTTCCTATTTATAACTCTTCCCAATCCTTCTCCTTGGCTGAAGGATAGGAACAGGCCCACTTATTATCACTGCTCTGTTTGTAGAGCTAACGAGTTGTTCTTTAATTCAGCAGAATCCCTGATTTTTCTGAGCCAAAATTCCTTGGTCCCTTTCTAATGCTACCTCACAGGGAAGGGCTGCAAGATCAACAATTGGTTGTTATAAGCTTTAGAGTATTAGGGGGGAAAAATACCAAGGAACTCCAGGAATTTTACCTTTGAAATTTAAACATTAGCTTTTAACACTTGAAATTTTCACAAGGTGGTATTCCTTGGTCATAATATTTGACAGCTTTGTAAAAAAATTGTGTCAGTCGTGCAGTTGGGCTAGAAAGGCTGTAATTTATTTAACTTTTAGAGAGATAAAGCTGGAGTAAAAGCAGTGAAGAAAACCCACGGGGCTTCTGATTCCACAAGTGAACATCTCCACTTCCATCTCTCTGCCTTACCCTGGTTGAGATGAAAAGACTCTGCCTGCAGCACCTTCTCAAACACACTTCCAGCATCTGTAGATTGCTGGCTCTCTTCTGCTATCTCCTGGATTATTATTTGCTTAAAAAATAAATCCTTTCCTGGTGGTTTTAGCAGCTCCAATCCAGCTCATAATTAAGAAGCAATCACATCAGTCAGGAGAATGGCAGGAAACAAAACCCAGCCCTCTTGTCTCCTGTTCCCACTGGGAATGCTGTGGAGGTGTCGTTTTCTCCCACAGTCAAATGACAGCCAAGAGTTTTGCTGCTCTTTGCCACTGCCAACTCATCCCATTTATGCCCTCATAGCTCTTTGGGCTCAGGTACATCCCAGATCCTCTCTCCTGCTTGCAAAGATGAGTGTTTGTGTTTACTTTTCAGGGAAGAAGCAGGATTTCAGCCCCATTGAAATAATGCTTTGGGTGGGGATTTCCCCCCCTGCAGCTGAGCCTCTGTACTCCATCATGAAGATGCAGTAATTTGCCAAAGCTGAGTTCAAAAAATTAAAAAACCTCAAGGACAGAAAAAAAACCAACATAAATTTGTAACACTAAGTCAGCTCTTCCTCTAAAAGGTAACATATGGGGCTACTTCTGCTTACATAACAGTTTGCTTTCCTCTAGGGAAGTGCTATAGTTTTTCAAGTTTTCCCCAGCCTTTATACCTTTAAAAATGTATTTTCACAGAAAAAAAAATATTTCAATTTACTTCTACTTTTCATTTTCCTCTCAGTAATGAGAGTTCTTTTACATATTTACAGTGCATTGTAGTCGGTAGCCTTGGTTATTTTCTAATAAAATAGGGATGCTAAAGATCTCCACTGTAACCTGGAAGTACCTTTCAGTTTAAAAATAGAAGCTGATAAATAATGTTATACACATGAAGCTACAGACAACACGCTCATGGGGCTTAACAAGAAACATGATCAACATCTAGCAAAAATAATGTGGGGTTTTTTCATGTATGAAGGCTTTTCCTGCAGACCCAGCTCAATTTCTTCTCCGTTTAGTCAAGTGCCACTGTGAGGAATTCCAGAATTTCTGTGCTTTATTCCCATTTTTCAATTCTAAAAATTGAATTCCCTCACCATCACCAGTTTGATGACTTCCATCCTGCAGGAAATAATATCTAACTGTGTGATGCCAAGGCTGTGGATCACACTGTTTTCTGAATGAGCAATCTTTGCAATCAGCAAAGACACCCTTCCCTTAAAAACAAATTATCTTCATGCCTGCAAAGTACATCAGCTTTCCAAAGCTGATGCTATTTATTAGCCACCAGAATAATTCTAATAAAATTGACTTAGGTGGCATCTTTTTTTAAAAATCTAAGCCAGCATGGTGTTTTTGCAAGAAGAAATGCCTCAGTCTCCTATTGAAACATACAAAATTAGCTTTCTCTTTTTAATAATTGTGGATTTCAGGATATTATGTCCACATTTCATACAGATCTGGTTTAGTGATAACATGGACAGTGCAAAGTGATTTTTAATGAGCAATTCTCTGAAATACTTTATGATTAAGTAGATTAGGAGAGGTCTCAGCATGAATCAAATGAGACCACACAGTGAATGCAAAGCAACCCTTGGCAAAAACACTTTTTACCTGTTTGAAGCCAAAATACCTCATGAGACTGAAGAAAAATTAAATTATCACCCCATTTTAAAAGGGAAGAAACTAAAGAGAAAAAAAATTAAAGAGAGAAAAAAAATTAAAGAGAAATCTAAGAAATTCACATCAAAACAACAGAAAGGTATGTGCAAACCTTGAAGTTGAAGGCTGAGAAAGCTCTTGTCCTACCATGTAGGCAACACAAATGCTTGACAGTGTAAGAAATTCTTGTTTGACACAGATTATTCGTTAAGCAAATACAGAGTACACTTTTCTTTTATCTATGTGATTTACAGGAGAAGATAGCAAAGGGATGGCAAAAAAAAAAAGAAAAGATCAAGCCTTTTTAGAAAATGATTTGGTTAATTACTTTTACCTTGTACTGAGACTCGCAGTTTTCGTTCCAGTTGGCGACTCCAATCCCTCCCCTGGCTTTGAGGATTTCTCTCTGTTCATTTGCTGGAGTATTGAGTTCAATTCACTAATGACATTAGCCTTGGGGCCTGAGAGAATCGGGCTTTTCACCTCTGGCACGTCCCCCCAAAGCTTGGATGTCCTTTGGGGGACAGCTTTCACCAGGTTGGGCTGGGCACTGATGGGAGGCGGGGGCGGAGCGGGAGGAGGGATCACAAAGCTGTCTACAGTTTCCTCGATCAGCGCGTCCTTGTAAAGTGCATTGCTTTTGTTGATTATGGGCTTCATTTTTGGCTTAGGAGGTACTGGGGGTTTGTCCACCAGAAATGTTTGCCCATCTGCATAGACTGTACAAGTATCCACGTTCTCCCCCCCTTCCGAGGATAAGGTAGAGATGCTGGACACCGTTGAGATAGTGCTGGTTGTCTCTAGGTGATGGTCACTGCTGCTCCGACTGTCAACCTCCTCGATCCCAGAGTCGGCGACGTTGTCGAAGCTGTCGGGGGGTGGCAGGAAGGATGCAGGCAAACAGTTTGAGAGACCCACTTGCTTTTTGCCGTCCAAGGAGTTTGCTGGCTGGCTGGGAGAAGGGGTGCCGTTCTTCCTCTGCGCCACCAGGTCTGTCAGCGCCGAGCCGGGCACCGCGCGGTCGTCGGGGATGTCGAAGCTGTTGGCAAACTCCAAGGGAGGGGGCAGCGGCTCAGTGAACAGGAACTCCTCGTCGATGTCCACTGAGGCCAGGGGCGGCGGGGGGATGCGGAAAGGCAGGATGACAGGGTCGTCCACAGAGCTGGCGGCCACGATGGTTTTGCAGGGAGAAGCTGGGGGCTCGGGTGCGGCAGGGACGCTCAGCTCGCTCTCCGCTTCCTCGCTGCCCTCCGGCCTCTCTGGCGGGGAGTTCTCAGGGCTCGGCTCCATCTCAGCTCCCTTTTCCTCCTCATCCTCGGGCATATCATCTGACTTCGCCGTATCCACTGTGTGCACCATCAACAAGCCAGCTGATTTTTGCTGCGAGGTATCCACGATGTTTATCAACATGTTCTTCTTCTCCTCAGCTTTCTTTTCTTTCCCTGCATCCATCTCGTACTTGTTCTCAGTCTCCTGCCGTCTCAACAGGCCGCGGGTATTTTGCCTGGTGACAGTGGCAGTAACAGGAAAAGTCGTTTCCATGTTGGGTCTCAGCTTGGTGTCGATGTAAAGCGGTTTGTTAAGGTCGGTTTTGACTGCGTCCCCTTTGCCTGGAATCTGCTGCGTCTGCTCTTTCATGGCTCTGTCCCTGGCAGAGAGCGCGAGGGCAAGTGGGGAGTTTGGATCCAGCAGCTTCCCTGTGACCGGGTGGACATAGCTATCCGAGCCGGGAGCACTCGTGGGCTTGGCTGCCACCATATTGTTGTCAGTGCCTTTCGTTTTGGACGGAGCGTTCAATGTCCTTGAGTCGCTCTGGCTGCTGGGCTCGCTGCTGTTAAAAAGGTTTTCGGGGGGCTCCCTGGGGGTGGGGATCGGAGATGGCGACATGAGCTGTCTGAAACCATCCTCGCCGCTGAACATCGCCTCCTCGGTGAACTTGGACTGCCTCATCCGTGGTGTCGGTGGGGTCAATCCAACGTCCTCGTCTCCCAGGTCTGTGGAGAGGAAGGCCGGGGAATTGCGCCTCGCCTCCAGCCTCTTTTCCCTGTCCCTCACGGCCCCTGCGATGGCTGCTGCGAACGGGCTGCTGACTCCCAGGCTGTCGTCAGGCCGAAGCTGTCCGGGCTGCTCTGAAGACTGAGGATCGATCTCCATGCTGCTCCCTTGGCTGCTTTTCCCGCTGCTGCTGGTGGATGGCTCTTTGACGATGATGGTTGGGATTGGAATAGAGCAGGTCTTTTCTGGACTGTCCTCCACATTGGACTGTTTCACCAGCATCCCCTTCCTCCTGGCTGGCTTGGCCGGCACGTAAACGGCTTTGCTGGCGATCTTCCCAACCTCGGAATAGGGGTTTTCTGGCATCTGGCCCCTCTTGCTCCTGAAATTGGCCTGAGCTGCGGCACTCCGGTTGTACAGGTCTTCCGAGTCCAGGGAGTACCGGTCCAGCTCCCGCCGGTAATAGATCCCTTTGTCCCTGATCATCGTCCCCACGCTCTCGGGCCGAACCAAAGAGATTTTTGCACCTGAATTCTGGTTAAATGGAGGTTTGATCGTTCCGTAGCTCCGGGAGGTCAGGGATTTGGGGGAGTTGTACAGAGAGGGGGAAGGTGGCGGTGGTGAGGGAGGTAAGGACTGTGGTGGTGGTGGGATATCTTCAGAGGTGTCAGGCATTGAAAGACTTCTGGTAAACTTCAGCATAGGAGGGGCCAGAAACTGCCGCTCTTCCTCTGTTATTCCTGAAAAATCAGAGAGTGCTTTTAAAACACTGCCACATCCACCAGGATCCCCCACGCCGTACTATTTCTCCATCCAACCCAAAATTCCAGGGTGCATTCCCCACGGAATGGGGAGTATGCAAAATTCCAAAAGAGGCCTTTAGGTTGATTCCCACCATAATCATTCTTTCCTGTTGGACATCCCAGGTGCCAGGATTGAAAAGGATGTTATGGAATTTCAATTAAACTGATGCATAAGCAAATGTTTGGGGTTATTGTATCAGCAAGGTGGCTGTAGAAAAGCATATTTTCTTTGAAAACTATTGAACAGGGAAGATATTCTGTGCAGAGGAGCTGCTTCTGCCTTGCTCCAATACTCTACAATGCATATAATAAAACAACTCAGAAACTTAATGAATTTTTAAGATGCAATTGAAATTTAGCAAAGGGACTGTGAAGATCCTATTGGGAAAAAACCCCATCATGTTGCATTTCAAAAGATGACATTATATCATTACAAATATGGCTTTTAACATAAATAAACTGGGTAATACTGGGATAGTTTGGATGATAATTTTACATCAGCATAATGCATTTCTAAATTGATAAAAGTCACTGCTAAAATTACTAACGAGAACAAAGAAAGCCAAATTTGGTCTGCTCTTTGTTTCTTTATTGTAACAACATCTATTGCCATAATTTGAAATGAGAAAAGGTGAATTTTAGTCAATTTGATCAACAGGATTTCTTTGTAAACTATACAGCATTACAATGCTTTCACTTCAATAACAAGGGAAAAAATGGATAATATTTTGCCTTAATGTTTTGCAAAAGTCTTGTACTGATCTTTTTTTTTTTGGTCCTTGTTATAGGGAACATTCTAAAGAAAATAACCAAATTATAATTCCATACTTGCCAAATGTGGAAATCACATCACCTTACACACAAACTTCTTTTCTCATGAACTTTGTATACAGATTAAACAGCAACTCACTGGGGTAAAGATGTTGGAGAAACACACTTTAGGAAAGAACTAAAGTTACCAAAAGTATGTCATTAATGAACAAAACCATACAAGAGAGGCATTTTACCTATAGATTTTTGTCTTCTCATTGTACCCCGAGGTATACCCAGAAAAGGACCTTGAGGGCTCCCTGGGACAGTGGGTGTCATCACAGCAATACCCTGTCTCTCATACATGGACTACAAAAGAGCAAACAGAAACCCCAACAGCATTAAAGCATGAAAGTCGCTCCCATGTGGAAATAATGCCTCATCCATTACCACTTTCACTGAGAATTCTTATGGAAAATAATGGATCTGGGGTTATTTCTGGGGAGGAGGTGGAGAGAAAGGGAAGGCTGGGATTTGTTTAGACACTCATGAAAGGACAGCAGCTGTAAGTGGAATGTGTTGATATTATTTACAAGGCAACAGCTTAAGGTGGGTAATGGAAAAGTATGTCCAAAATGCAATAAAACCAGTTATTTTTTTTTACCTGCAAAGTTTTGTAAGATTAAATTCTGCACTTGAATGATGCAATTTCAGAGTTCTGGCATTTAATTTTTAGTAGGTGCTATAGTATTAATGTCAATTATTCCCTTACAAAGCATTGGTCAATATTTAATCAAGGAATTAGACACATTAGTAGGAATAAAGCAGTGCTTTGTGGCTCCCACTCACATTCATATCTGAAGGAAAACATCTACTAGAAGGCCGCTGTTTTATAGTTGCCACTCTGGAGTCCACAGTTGCATTGTCTGCAATTCTTGATGGCTTGGAAACTGGCACTATTTCATCCACCTTATCTGTAATATAAAAGCATTCAGTAAAATAAATATCACTTGTTCAAAGAACTGGAAAAGTTAAGTATTGCAAGGTCAAAGGAAGAGATTTACTTTTCAAAAAAATGCAAAGAAAAAGTTTTTTTGGCATTTTAACAAGGCAACGCTTGAGCATCATAAGTCGTGCAAGCCGAGCACTTTTTATTGCTGCTACATAACATGCATGCTTTAGTTTTAAGCCTGCATGCATTTAATGTTTACTTAGTGTGACTCGAAAAACAATCCTCTTCTTCAAACCTTCAAAATGTGAAGGGAGAATATCTATATAGAAATGGAAAGAAGACCTTTAGAAATAGTGAATCCGTAGAGCACTGTTTCAAATAGAGATAAGCAGACTGTACTTAGTCATCAGAATTTTCAGTGATATTTTGGACAATAACAAGTACTCCAGAAGTGCTCTTTCATGCCTATGCTCCTTATATAATAACATCCTGATTTGTTCACACTCTTGGACTTGTAGGCTAGCACTGCTAACTGCATCCTTTGTTTAAGTGAAACTTTTATATGCATTTCTGTTGGTTTGGTTTTTTTAAATTTCTTTTAATAACTGGACAGTTTGGGAATGCATTTAGTCATGGTCAGAAGCAGACCAAAAATAGGCAAAGTCCAAATCTGAATGAGAACTTCAACATTTGGATTTGGGACTCTGATCTACTGCATGATGTGATGGGAAAATACAGGGATAAGTTTAATCAGGATATTCCAAAGCTGAGTGCTGGTGTTAGCCCCGTCTCCAACTTTGGTCACAAACAAGGTTCATCAGCATTAAATACAAAATGCTACTCCCTCACATGGAAGACCTTGAAGCACAGTATAATCCACTAATTATTGCCTGACAGCTCCTTTGCCCCTTCTACTGCTATGAAACCAAGGCACAGAGAAATTAAATCACTAGCCCAAGCCACCAGGAGAGTTTGAGTTTGGAATCTCTACTAGAATCCAAACTGGAATCACACCAACACCTTTCCTTGCTATGCCTTCCACTGCATTTGCTTGCCTGTATCATGTTCATTTAGTGTCTTTTCCTTTGAAGTTTCACCAAAACTAGGATTAGTTTCATAGCCTGTGGCATTTCTGTGAGTGGAACACCTCAGCCTGGCTCCTAGGCTTCCACAACACGAGTCAGAGCAATGCTACTTTTCAGCAATTAGCTCCATCTCCCAGATAACTCATTATTTGTCAGACAAGGATAGGTACTTCATTAGGATACTGCAGACTTGAAAAATCCCCAGGGTTTTGGTGATCTAGAGTTGGTGTTACTACCCCAAGTATTGTATTTAGGGATTTAAATTTTACCTCTCACGGGAGAGCAGCGCACTCAGAGCACTGGATATTGATATGGATGGGAATAAGGCAGGAGGAAAAGATCTTTTGATCCCTCTAAACAGTAGAGCTGGCTGATGCAAGGATGATATTTTAAACAGGAGAAGAAGAGAGGGAAGAACTTTTAGCCTTTGGGTTAGGAAGAAGGTTGTCCTAGAAGTGGATATTTCAGTGTCACAGAGGGTCAGGGAGCAGGCAGGAAAGGAAAGGCTGATCAGGACCAGTAGGCTGAACACTGCTGAGAACTGTCTCACAAGAGTAGTGTTGCTGTTTCTTTTCAACTGAAGTTAGCATTCAAGTCTTTTCATTGGTCTGCTTTTTTTATTTTTCTTTTTTTTCTTTTTTTTTTTTTTTTTTTCTTTTTTTATTGGTGGGGCTTAAATCATCCAGTGGAAGGAGAAAGGGAAAAAAATTCTTAAAATTGTCACATGTATTCAAAAATAAAAAACCAACTTTGTGTCACATTTCATAAGGCTTTTCATAAGGGGATCTATCACCAAGAGCTTCAACTGGGCAGAGATTTCCTCTTAAGGCTCTCCCACCCTTGTTCTCATCCCAGAAGCCAAACAACTAATCTTTGGGATACAGAAAGAAGGAAGCCTTGGAAATGGAAGCACTCAAAATCTGCACATGAGAAATAGAAATACACCACGTAAGAAGTGATCCCCTTTATTTTGAACAGACACATGTAGCCAGATACCCATTCAGACAACAAAAAGCTACAGGGAAAAAGTGATGAGGCCATGACAGACACTTGGAAAAGCATGAAAATTTTTGTTGGGGATGAAACATACATACCCTCCAACTGCACTGATTTTGCTAGACAATCCTAGAAGTCAGATCCTAATTTTGGATCTGACCAAAATATCAGTTGGTACCCATTCTTAAAACCATGAGGGAAAAAAAACCCTGGGTTTTTTGTGAGTTTATTGCAGGTTTCTTGTCTGTAGAGAGGTTTTCAGACCTTCTCACCCTATGGCTGCTCCCATTTGCCACATTTAGCCAAAGCACCCAGAAATGGGAGAGGAGGGTGGGTTAAAGCTTGAACTGCTTTGCAAGGAACCCTTTAGGGCTTCCTCGCGTGGCACTTCCAACGGCAGCACTGCACAGCTCTTTCTCTTGCTCTACTGCCTTTGGACCAGAAAGCAAAGGTAGAGTGGAACTTGTCATTTTGGAGCTACTACAGCAAAAAATGTGAGGCCACAGAAGCAGCCAGCACGTGGAGACTGATACTAAATGGCGGCAGCTACATGGCGGGTCCTGTGGGAAATGTCAAAATCTGAACGCCTGGCCACGACTGCCCAACCCTGCCGGAGTGAAAGCACGACGTGAAACAAAAACATCCTCACTGCCCTATCAAACGTGCTCTTCAGGCCAAGGAAATGGACTGGCTGAACCACAGCTTGCCCAACTCAGACTCACCCCAGAGAGAGAAGACGTGTTGGGCCAAACCTCCACTCGCCTGTGCCTCGAGCTGTTTGTCTCCACAGCACCAGAGTGCAAACCCCTCCTGCATCCGAACCACACATTCCAAATATACTCCTACTTGAATAATTTGTCAGGCTCACTAATTAGCTCTCCTCCCAGTCTCCTCGTGAGCTCAAATACTCTACAGCATGCATTCCTTCATACCAACAAGAGGGGAGGCTCACAAGCTCATGTAGGAAATTCTCTGATGATAACTTTACAAATAACCCTGACAAAAGAGAGAGAAAAAAGTCACAAAACGGATGCAAAAATTGGCACCTGCTGTGAGGCGTGTTGACAGAGTGGCCCAAAGAAGCCTGCCTCTAATGGGATTTTTTAAAGAAATGCAGCTGGATGAAGGTCAAAAGGAAGGAGTGTGGGAAAAGCCTACACTGGAGGTTGGCCATGCAAGCTGCATTTCCTCCTTGAACCAGTTGTTAAGCAGAGTACAGCCACAAGCACACACGCACACACACTTTTACAGGAGAAGTTTGTGGCTGGCTGGTAGAGTAAAAACTCTGATCTGCCTTGCCCTGAATAACCTCTGCCTCACTGGAAGACAGGGAAGAAGAGTCTACGTCTCACTGGCCAAAGAGCATGGCTCGGTTGTAGTCACAGAAGAGGATTTTTAAGCCTACGATTATTCCCTGGCATTTTCCATAGAAACTGCTCTGCACCTTCCCGAGAAGTCGCAACGGCGTGTTGAGAGTCAAACACAGGAGCCATGCTACACCTGTGAGAACCTGTCCCCACTGCTCCAGGGCCTCCTGGGAGCAGCATCCTTCCAGAGAACTGTCAGGGATACCACATGTAAAAGCCAGTCTGATGCCTCTGCATGCATATAGCAATTTGAGTGCCACTATATTAAATTCCCCCGAGAGAGGCAGCACCAACAGATATAAAGTAATTTATTGCCAAAGTGCATTTCCATCTGCCCTGTTGGGTTACCAATGGGACCCGTGCCCTGCTCAGGGTGCCAGCCCTCAGGAAATTGGATGGCCTAAAGGCACAGAAAATAGTTGTGTTTTATCAAGATGCAGGTCTCGTCTCTGATGAAAAGCTCTTAAATCACAGACAGAGTAGCACAGTACCCAACAGCATGTCATGACTTTTACATTCTCAAGAGGTCTGGCTGCTAGGCAAGTTGCTTTTTTCATTTTTTTTTCTTTTTCTTTAATAATTAATATCTGTGATAATTACAGGGGACAGTCTCTCCTCCTAATAGATTTGTTGCAGGAGATGGCTCTTATCCCCGTAGAACACATTGCTTAGTGACTCCTGTTCCGAATACCCAGACTCTCTCAGAGGAAAAAGTATAATGCTGCCCATCAAGCCACCAGATCCATCATCAAATGAACTTTGAAAACGAGAGTCAGGTGCCCAGATAGATCTGGTGGCACATCACTACACAGCCCCCAAAAAGAGAAATATGAGGTATGATCCTGGCAACATTACTTATTGTACGACATAGCCAAGACATGTGGATTAGCTCCACCGAGGGTCTTAGGAAGTGAGCTGGTGAGACCCACAGAGGATAAGAATGGTCATGATCCAGTACAGGCTATACCCCAACACCTCAGGCTGGCATGCCAGAAACACCAGGCAAAGACTGATCGAACACAGTTTGGGAGGCGAGTATTGCCAAGACCTCTATACTTACCACCAAGTCCTGCGTGCTTGCTCAGAGGGGGTGGGATAATGGAGAAAGAAAACTCAAAAAACAGCTGCCTCAAGAAATGACTTGTATTTGTAAGAAAAGCAATGAATGCCTGGCACAGAGTAAAAAAATGCTTGTATGAAGTTAAAGTGAAAGAACAGAGGCAAATGTTCTTCAAATACCAGCAGCACACATCGTTAACAGTGCAAATATAAACTACAAAATGTTAGACTAATCTAGTCAGCCAGAATACAATGTTAGCCAATGTAGGAAATGGTTGAACTCTGCCACCGATGGCCTTATGGCTAAGAATTAAAAGGACAGGCACATTAAAAAAAACCTCTAAAAATCCTATGGAGTGGTTATTTTTTCTTCCCTCCCCCTTTTGCCTGGCGTGGAGGCATGGGCAGCGAGGCCCTCTCGGTTATGGCTCTCTGCAGCCGGCCACTGCGACAAGGCAGGGTGGCCTGCGGCGGGTCGCGAGAGTCGCTCGTCCCTTCGGCCCCTGGTAAGCACACAGTGGAGGATGCCACTGCGTCCTCACCAGTCCATGTCGAGGCACACGTCAACTCGACATGGGGGGTGGCTCTTTGGGAGATGCGCGTTTCGAGGACCTGTGTCCTCGGCTGCTTGAGGAAAGCTAAAATCTCTGACAGGTAGTTATGGATGGCTCTTGTGGAGGTAGCCACAATGCCCAGCTGCAGCTCCATACGGCCCATGGACTGGGACATGAGACCCATGGACTGTGCATGCTCCCTCTTGATATTTTCCAGCAGCTGCACAATCCTACTGTTGGTTTCCATCAACAGCTTCT